CACAACTAGCTTCCAGTCTGGGAAGAACCATCTAGCACATAACATTTGAAGCTTCCTGATCTCTTCCCTGTATCTCACTAAAGAGCAAAGAGGATTCCCGGGGTCTTACTAGCGCTTGCATAAGGAAGTTGGTGTCACATCTTTGTATTAAGTTGTTGGTTGCTTGTTTCCCATGTAATTTTCCTCATTGCTTGTCACATTTACAGCACCACATGGGTTTGGTAGATTGATTGCTACAATACAGGATTTATTGTTACCTCAGGGTCCTGATGGACAACAAGGTGAATGAGAATCAACAATGTGCCCTGGCAGCGAAGAGGGCCGGGGTGTCCTGAACCACATTAGGCAGTGTTGCCAGGTCAAGGGTGTATCCTTCCCCTCTACGCAGCACTGGTGAGACACTCCTGTGGTGCTGGGTCCAGTTCTAGGCTCCCCGGTACAAGAGATACATGGACATACTGGAGACAGTCCAACAAAGGGCCGTGAGGATGATGAAGGGACTGGAGCACCTCTCCTGTGAGGAAAGGCTGAGAGAGCTGGGACTGCTCAGCCTGGAGAAGAGAAGGCTCCGGGAGCTCTCATCAATGTATACAAATACCTGATGAGAGGAGTAAAGAAGACCAAGCCAGACTGTGCTCAGCAGTACCCGGTGCCAGAACAAGAGGCAGTGTATTCAAAGTGAAATACAGGAAATTCCATTCAAACATAAGAAAAGGACATTTTTACTATGAGGGTGGTCAAATGCTGGCACAGGTTGCCCGGGCAAGCTATGGAGTCTCCATCCTTGGAGATATTCAAAGCCCAGGTGGACGTGATCCTGAGCAGCCTGCTCTAGGTGGCCCTGCTTGAGCGAGGGGTTGGGACTGGGCAATCTTCAGAGGTGCCTGCCACCCCCAGCCAGTCGGTGATTCTGTGACTATGTTAGTACGCAAATACATATTTTGTGACTGAGGTGACAGCGTATCTATAAAGAAGGCTTGCGGTTTTTTACTTTAATAATGTTTGTTTATCATAAGTACATTACAGCTTATGGGCTTAATCATAATAAAGGAAAACTTTCTCATTATTTTTCTCCATTAAGAAATGCCAGACATTGCACCCAAATGTTTGCCAACGAGAAAAATTGACTTTATAATAATCTTGTTATCCACCCAGAGCTAAGATGGAAGTACTTAATTTTTGAGCTCCTCACTCTGTGAGGTACAATGTGTTATCTTGGTCTGATGGTCTTATAAGGGGACAGAGGTAGGATGGAGGGTTATGGGCTGAAGAAGATGATGTGGAGGGGCTTGAGCGTGGACTATTTCTGGGAAAACCGCTTAGGGGATGGGAGAGCTTTTTGTGGCCTTCGGCCTCCCAAGGAGGGAGAGGCTCAGCTCCAAAACCAAGGAGAAGCTGGTGAGGAGAGAGGCTGCTTGTCCTCTCCCTTGCGTGTGGGAATTGCTGGCGGGTGCAGGCTTGCCAGCTTCGCTGCTGCTGGCTCCTTTCACTGCGAGCTCGACCAGGAGGCTGTTTATTCCCGTTCCAGCTTTGAGAGAGCGCCCTGGCCTTTACAGAGCTGCAGGGAGCAGGCTGTGGAAAGTGTAAAGTTTTTGTTCCCGGACTTTTGTACTCATTTAAACCATTCAATCTATGTTTTGCAGTCTTTCTGTTGTCTTGATTTCTCAAAGCTTAAGCAAAGTGTCTCTTTTTCCACATCTGCACATTTCATTTTGTCCCATTCATGCCTGAAAAACAGTGAGGAATATTTCTGGAGGAGAATCTTGCCATATTTACCTTTCAGAAAAACTCTTCATTTACAGGGCCAGTGTTTTATAGCATCAAGTCTGATATTTTACCCACATTTTTTGGACTGCTGAGAATTGGTTGGCATTTTTGGCATTAGCCTGTGATCCACAGTAATGGGCATGCTGTCAGTCTTTCGTCGCCTTAGACTTGTCACCCCAAAATGGTGGAAAGCAAAGGTTTAGGGATGGGTTGAGGAGCTGTATGAATTTGTAACTTGACTTTTCAGTTCTCCTCCTCCTGTTCTCTCCCTGAGAAAGCAATGATGCCCATGCCTTGTCTGGCATGCTTATTGGGGCACACAGTAAAATAGAAGCAATTAACAAGAGCACGGGAGGTCCGTTCAGTTTCTTTAATTATATATTCCTAACTAAACCTCTTAATTTTCCATGGATTAATGCAGTAGCCTTCCCTCACTGTGTTTTTGTGCAACGTTGTTTTAGAAAGAGGTTGTGCATGCTAATGCTGCGTGGGTACAAAGCAGCAGTGCTGCATGTACTCAGGTGCACGAGGATTTGGAGGACACCAGTGGTGGCTACGTTGCCGGGCAGACCCCACTCCCCCAATGACAGGAGCCCTCTAAATCTTGCTCCTACGGGTCAGCTTTGACCTGGGCAGAGTCTCTTGGGGAGCGGCAAGGCTGCAACGTGAGGCTCATCTGTCTGGGTGCTGATGGGGTGTTTCTGTGGAGAGAGAGGAGGAAAGTGGTCTTGGTAAGGCTTCCCGTCAGCCTTCACCAGTTCACACCTGGTGTCGGGTGAAGAGAGGACCCCGTCCGGGAAGGGCTGTCAGTTACATGTGTTATATCTGACATCCTCTTGCAGCACCAGCAGGGCTTTCCTGTATCTTGACGTGGCAGGAATTTTGTGGAAAGTGGCTGAGTACAACTTGGGCATCTTCCTGCAGGAGGAGGAGGAGGATTCATTTTGTCATGGACAAATACTGAGCTATGCAAGTTCTTCCAGGCTTGCCATAATTATTCTCACTTGCCTGCAATGTGTAGCCAAACAAGAAATCCTGAGCGCTGGGTTATTGTGGTTGTTTTTTGAGGTTTTTTTTATGACAGCACAGCCCCACACAACTGTTTCCTGCAATTCCCTGTTAAAGCACCGTACCTTGCAGCTGCTAGCTGCTGTTTCTCAAAACTGACATCTGTGTAGCTGCACGCATCGGCCAAATAAAACAGCTTCTGTGTTGGCCTTGTGTAGCTCTTAAAATTAAGAGGACATTGAAGTGTCATGATTCAAATACATGTAAATGGTGCAGACATAGCATTTCTCAAAGCAGGTAGTCTGTAGAGCTAACCTGCTTATTTCTCTCCATTCAGTGTAACCACTTAGTTTGTTATCACATAGAAAAGCCAGAAATTTGGCAAAATACAGTGTTGCTTGCTCATAGCAGAAACGTGACTATTTTGGCTTGAAGGCTCTGACTTGGTTCCTCTCTGCACACCAGTGGTCAAATCTTTTTTTATTTGCCTTATCATCTCCATGGAGCATCAAGTATAAAACCACCAACCTCTTACCTACTTCCAAGTTTGGGGTGTGAAGAATTAACTAAACATTTGTTTGAAATTATAAAGGAGCTGGGGTAGAGTTGTGCTTCCTACTACAGGGCGGAAGGCATGTGACAAGCAGAACAGGGCCCTACAGCTGTTTGCTCAACTGATGCTGGAAGACATGGCAAATGGAGTTACAGCAATATGCTTGCAATGCACTTCTGTGCCTGGTTTTTGCTCAGCTGGAGGACACTTGTTAGACTCTATCAGCCACGCTCTTTAGTTTCCCCATTGATAAAAATGTAGAGGATATTTCCCTGCTTCCTTGCTAATACACCATCAGAGCCTCAGTAGAAATACCAAATTGAACATAAATGAGGTTATGCTGCACAGCTCCCTCCGTCGTCTCTCATAATGTTTTTGCAGGGTGTTAGGCGCCAATCCTCAATTCTCTTTTTTTTTTTTTTCCTTTCCTCTTGGCTTGCTTACCACTTCTAAAATAGTTTGAGGCCAGTGCTGGGCTCCATGGGTTTGTTGGCTTAGCTGTCAGCTTGGATTGTGAAATATCCATCCCCCGGCCAAGGCTGCTGGGCTGGCAGCGCGGTCCGGGCACAGCTCTGTCTGCAGAGGCGCGTGAATTCGGAGGCGGTGTTCTCTCCTCTTTTGTGTCAGCCTCCTGTGCTGTGTTTGAAGCAAGTAGCGTATTTCTAGTCTGCTGCAAGTCATGTGTGTGCTACAGATAAAGAAACTGCGGCGCTGGCATCAATTAAAATATTTATGTATGCGTGTGTTTGATACAAAGTGGGGAGATTTTTTTCCTTTAGCTGAGTTGCACTTAGAGAAGCAGGCAGTGATGAAACAGTGGCCCAAATAATTTTGAATTGTTTATCATAGTTAATGCATATCAAAGTTGGCACATGTAGCTCATAAAGAGCACGTTTCTCTCTGTGTTTGGTTTTTTGGAGAATTTTTCTCAGTGTCACATACAACGCTGAGAACTAGGATGACCTGAATTTTTACCATCCAATACGAGAGATACTACGGAGCTTCTGCTAAGGGCTCTGGCTGTTGACAGTGAGAGATCTTCTCATCTAACGTGTTAGCTGTAAAGAAGGTTAGTGGGACACTGGAAAGCTGCTTGTGCACCCAGCTGCGTTTCCAGTGAGATACTAGGCTCTTTCAGTGATTTCAGTAGATGGTGGTAGCACATTTCCCCATATATTAGACAAAACAGGATCCTGGAATCAGTCCACATTGTTACTGAAGCAAGAAATACCTCCACGTTTGTTTTTTTCCTCCAGTGGATCATCCCTGAGTCACAGGTCTGATGATAGTCCATGACCAGGAATATTTTGTACCATTGTTTGTTGCTTCTGCTGCATACAAAGAACACTCTGGTTTGCTGAGAGATGACCTTGGCATGCATCTGAAGTTGCAATTTCTGAAAGACAGAAGAGGTCTTCTAATTGAAACTTGCAACGTGATGTGTATTGACTCATTTCTGACTCTACAAGAAGACCCGGACTTCTATGAAAAGCAGATTTGTCCCATTCAGCAGATTCTTATGAAGCTCCAGGTCAATAGGTTTGAAAGATAGATGAGTTGAATTAAAGCATTTTGGGGTTATTGATTTGAGGATTGAAGAGAAAAGGTGTTATTCTAATGCTTATATTTGTTTTGTAAATGTGATTTTTTCCCCTCCGTTCATTTCCCACAGAAACGTTCCAGAGGTCAAGTGCTGTTCGACAAAGTGTGCGAGCATCTGAACCTTTTGGAAAAAGACTACTTTGGGCTAACGTACAGAGACACGGAAAACCAAAAGGTAATCCACAAAACTGCAGGCTAGCCTTTGGCACGTGGACGTCAGAGCTCCCCGAGACACCCTCCATACAGTTGCAAACAGTCCAGAAGTTGTTTTTGTCTTCTTTGCCAAGCTCCATAGCTTGAGCTATTATTTTTTATAACTCTGTACCTCTCAAGAACATCCCCTGTGTTTCCCTGGCTTCCTTCTGTATTGGCTGTTTATGACATGAAAGAAGTTAATCATCTGGCTGTTTCTTTCTAGTATGATTTATTTCATTACTGCCATAGAAGAAAGTCAGATTTACATTCATAGATACACTACTAACCATATAATAGTAAAATGTGGCTTATTTAATAATGTGGTTGAGATACAGATAGGCAGGAGCTGATTCACTGCTCCTGCTAGCTACTGAGATAAAGTAAGGCTTTAAGTCTTGACTTGCTTTATCTTAGTGTTATTGTTGATTTGGCTGAAGACATAAGTCCTCAGAAGCAGTTGGCAGGAATAGTGAATCATGTTCTGCTTCTCTGCATCTCAACTGCAGGATTAAATATGTGTATTAACAGTGTCCAAGATGATCTAATTTTCAGGTGATATATATGTATATGTAGATAGCTTATTGTTGACATGTTATGATGAAAGAGAGAGTATCAAAGGATAATTTCAAATATGGTTTGTGGGTTTTGGTGTTTTAAGATAAATATTTTAAAAGAAACCAGTAACAAAACTTTTTAGCAGTAGGTGCCAGTAGCCCAGCAGAGCTCATCAGGTGAAGGTGTTTCGTGATTTGCATGGCCTGAGAGGTCTCCCCTGATGAAGCTGGAGCTATTACTGTTATTTTAGCTGTCTTGTGAGAACAACAGTTTTGTTTTCTAGGCTTCCCTTTGTTTCAATTATATATGATTCAAAAGAAATCAGTCTTTTCGTCTCCCTTTTCCCCTTTCTTTACAGACTTCTAAATGTGAGGATTTTTTTTGTGATTCAGAAAATCACTTAAGCAGACACTTGGTCCATGCCAGTGCAAGATAACACTTTAGCATATGCTCAGTTTTGAGTTGTGGTAAAAGTTAAACAGATGTTTAAGTGCATTTCCAGATAAGTGTGCTTTCCTGCACTGGAAAGAGAAGAATGTATTCATTATTAACAGGTGGTTTAGAAGCACTAAATATTTATAGATCGACAGTTACTTTACAGAGCTAAATAGCTAAAAGAATACTGCCTGCCACCACATTTGCTGATCAATAGCAGGCATATTTTCGATGTCAAAGTACTTAGCAATTCACCTCCCTCCTCTGCCAGGTAACTTCCAGCCAGACAATACGTGTGCCCGCATCACATGTCATCTTTGAAAACAGAAATCCTGATGCATCTTTAATTTCTTAGTGCACAGTGTGCTTTCCTGCCTAGCAATAGCTGGAGCTCTTCAGGCTCATGTTTTGTGCCACAGACGGGGTTTGGACAGCTGCAAACTGGTTGTTTTTGTTGGGGAGGGATTGTTGTGTTCTGCTTGTTTGATATTTCTTTACTATTGTTTTTTCTCTGACACATTTGTTTATCTTTCTTTGGAGAAAGTGGAACTTTCCTAGGGGAAGTGAACTTTTTGTTCTGGGCCGTGTGACCCATTTGAAATATTAATTTGATTCTGTTGGAGGACAAGGCAGAAGTGGAGGGCTTTTACCTCCCAGTGCCCAAAAGGCAGGTACAGAGCAGGCTGCTCTATTCATTCTACGCTCTGGCTGCAGCGGCGGCACTAAGAGACCCCACGCCTCCTCCAGAGGAATTTCCTTTGCTGCTTGGCATCCATGGAGTAGTAAAGCATCACCATGATAATTCCCCAGCTCCTCGGCAGGAGTTTTGTCTTGCCTAGTCACCGGGCTCTGCGCAGCCCCGTGTGCTGTGGTTCTGCCTCTGGTTTCCTCCCGCGCTCCTTCTGCCCCCGGGCAGCCCCTCATGCCCACACAGGGTTGCAAATGGGGCAGTGCCCTATGCTGTGCCTGCTTATCCTCTACCCAGGCTTTTCAGCCCTTCCAGGATTAGAGAAAACAAACAAACAAACAAACAAAATAAACCCCTTCTTAACAAGCTTGCAGAAATTTAATTTTCCCAGAAGATACTCTGTAAAAAGGTTTCTGTGGATTTACTTCACTAATTTCTATTTTTTTAATTTTTTATTTCAAACTATTCAGCCCTTCAACATCTGAGAAGGTTAATAAAAATCCTGCTTCTACCCAGGGCCACATCTTGGAAGTTAGTGTTATTCCTGCCTACCGCTGCTCCAAGCAGAAAGGGGTGGCAGACCTCCACATGTTCTAGCTTTGACTCGTAGCACTGTTTTAAAAATAATGTTTATTGTGTTTTCTAATTCAAATTGAAAAAGGAGACATTTTCTTTGCAGAATTGGTTGGACCCTGCCAAGGAAATCAAGAAGCAGATCCGAAGTAAGTTTATTATCGTTTGTGTGTTTGTTTCAGGGGGTCTGGAAAACTTTCATTCTGGTGCCCATCACTGCCCACCACTGCCCAGCCTCTCCGATCCTCTATGCTTGTGGCTGAACCGCTGGGGGAACTCGCTGCTCTTGACTCGC